TTTTGAGTTGTTGCTGTTCAGCCGGGCCCATTCAGGCAGACCCTAGTATCGAGTTGATTGCTGATTCAGCCAGACCCATTCAGGCGGGCCTCTATATTGAGTTGGTTGTTACCAGTTTGGCTGGAGGGTCTACTGAGGTGCTGTCCTCTCCGACCCCATTGAGTTGGGTTATTTCCCTGGGCTATTGATATCCCTCTCATCTCCAGGACATCATTGCTCAGCACAGCAGCTTACCAGGAGCATTCTATACTATTTTGCAGATTGGTCAAGTTGGCTTCTCAACGTGAGACAACCCCTACATGGGGTAAGCTCGTTGAGAAGTTCTGCTATCGATGCATTGGGCATCAGAGTTTCGTCATCAGGGCCAATGAGTCTCCCACATCGAGATATACATTGGTGATCACTTATCATGTGAGAAAAGCCGGACAGGGAACAAAGGGAACCACCTACGACCGGATTGCTGACTATATCTTCCGCAGGGAGAGTTATTGGATAGAGCACTGGTTACACGTGGTGTTTCCCCAGATCCCCTTTGCACCAGGTAGTGCTCTCTATGACTTTGATCGCTGTAATCCTAAACCGCTGAGCAGAGGTGGCAGCAGGGAAAAGAGGCGTCAAGACAGGACGATCAGGAGCGAGGTGGTCAGATCCGGGATACCAATTACCACCTGTCTACAGAGGTTAGAGACGGACGAGTCAGACCAAGGGCCTTGCTGTGTGAGCGACGTTGATTTCGGAGACTATTTTGATTGGGATACTCACAGGGATTGAGCATGCTTGATTTGGAGCAGATCCAAAGCATTTTATGACACTGGCCACTAGAGTGAGACGCAGGCGGAAGGCAGCTCTACGATGGGTTGCTTACCTCCTGGCACGATATTTGCTTGAGGGAGATTGATTTAGGCCATACATGTCAGGAGTACCCAAGTCAGAGGAGGTAGCCGACCCTTCTAGAGGGAAGGGACCAGTCCCATATCTTGGGGATGGCTACAGTCATTTGGTGGGAGCGGACTTCGTTATACAGGCTTTTCGGAAGCCTCTCTATGGAGACCGTTTTCTGGAGGTTTCATACGACTACATCTACGACAAGGGGCGGATCGAGATCTTGATCGGTGCCACTGGCAGCATTTCCCTAGCTGAGGAGTTGTACCTTCGGAGCGTTGCGGACGAGGAGATGGCCAGATGTATSGCATACATCAGCAAGATTGATCCTACGACATCTTTCGACATCAGCTATGTGGTCCYAGAGTCTATCGCCACTYAGGTTCTCAATGATGAGGAGRACCAGTGTGTACCAGATATGGAGTCCCAGGCAGTCGAGCTCACTCATGAGGGGATACCGCTCGTTGTCATTGACTGAGGCTCGTATCTTTTAGTCAATGAGATGTACTATGACATTATTATTATCTATCAGTGACTGCAGCCCCTCCTTTATGACTGCTTCCTCCATTCTCTGTGTACTACTCTTCAGTCTCGTGTCTCTGGTCATGCTCTTGCAGAGTCTGGTTTCTGGTTTTTTCGTCCTCTCAGTGTCTTTTGACTTATGATGCATGACCTGTAATGCATGGAATGTTTATGCATGAGATAACAAGTTATTTATCACTCCTTATCATAACAGGTTACACTCAAGGCTACTTGAAGGACTCCTAGATAATAGGGACTCCGGTGACCTTGAGTCTAACCTTTATACGTGGTCAGGTGCAGGCGATAAAACCGAACGCCTCACTCTAAGCCGTGTCGCCGCTGGCAGGAGGGATAATCATAACTACTCGACTGTGTGACAAACGCTGCTCGTGAATGTATTTCTAATTTTCCTACAACTCTCCAAAATCCTGCGTGACAGCCTGGCAGTCCACCAACCCACTGCACTCGGCCGGGGGGGAAGACATTGAACCAGGCCCTGAAACGGTGGGGGCGCGACACCGGTCCCACATTTTTCAAAGAAACTGCCACCAGCCCCCAAAGTGTCGTGTCATGCCTGCACCTGCCTGCATTTTTCGAACCTTCCAACGACCAAACGAGCCTGAATCAACAACCAGTATAACGAAGGACAATGAAAATGTCTCGGGGGAAAATGTCTTTGGGGGGGGAAACGCACCCCTGACGGGCTGCGAACTTTTCCACTTTTCCACCCTACCGCTCCTTTGCCACCGTTTCGACCAAAACCCAGCGTGCGGTCCCACGAGCAGCTACGGTCCCGCATTTTTCAAAGAAATTGCCAACCCCCCCCGAAGATCCACCCTGCCGCTACTTTGTCTCTGTTTCGACCAAAACCCAGCATGTGGTCCCACATGCAGCTACAGGTCCCGCATTTTTCAAAGAAACTGCCACCCCTCCCCAAAGTGCCATGCCTGCACCTGCCTGCAATTTTCGAACCTTCCAACGACCAAACGAGCCCGAATCAACGACCGGTATAACGAAGAACTTCGAAAATGTCTCAGGGGGCCAAAATGTCTCAGGGGGGGAAAACGCACCCCTGACGGGCTGCAAACATTGACTTACCGTAAGGGCACGGGTGCACAGCCCGTAGTTTGTTTTGTTTTGGCTGTGGCGAGGCCCTGTGTGTGTGTATGCGTGTGTGTGTGTGTTTGTGTGTGTGTGTGTGTGTGTGAGTGTGAGAGAGAGAGAGAGAGAGAGAGAGAGAGAGAGAGAGAGAGAGAGAGAGAGAGAGAGAGAGAGAGAGAGAGAGAGAACACCTCTGTTTCTGAATCTGGTTCAGAACTGCTTCTAGATTCAGACAAAATCATCCAGAACAGTGTCTAGGCCCATTGGGCCGAAGTGGGTGGGCTGGGCATGAGGCTGTAGGCCTGCGGCCCCCACGCCGTTTCAAAATATTTTGGACCACGGCCACCTACCGGTTCCCAGGAAAATGCCACAGGCAAATACCGGTCCAGCATTTGCTTGAACTGATGCAGCATGCAGCATGTCCGTGGCGGGGAGCACAAGGGCAGGCGCTGACCTCCAACAAAAAGAAGAAGTAATTTTATCGGAATACAAGAGTTTTTCCTTTTCAAAATCCGAGTAGAAAGGGTGCATGTTATTCAAATACAACGTGTGCGTTTTCTATTCGAGGAACTCTGCTATTCGAGAAAAGTGGACCCGCACCGTTTCAATTTCGAAAAAGGACTCCAGCCTCTTCGGCCTCCTATGCGCAGCTACCGGTCTGTCCTGCAGTTTCAAATAAGATGCCACCACCCCCTAAACTGCCATGCCTTGTTTTTCCAGCCTTCCAACGACTGTATAACGAACGACGACGAAAAATGTTCTCAGGGGCATAAAACGCACCCCTGACGGGCTGCGAACAGCGCACCCGAGCCTGTCCACTGCTACTGAGGCTATCTGGCCCCGTGGCCCCCTTCCCGTCATCCCCGTCCCCCGTCCCCCGGCCCCCCCCCCCCCCCCCCCCCCCGCCCCCTGCCCCGCCCTGCTCCGCCTCGTACTGCCCCGCCTCGTCCCGGCTGTGCGCCCACCATGCGCCCGAGAAGTAGTGCAGGGCGGTGTCGCTCTACCGAGGCAGCGCGCCCAACCCTGTCCCGCGGCTGGTGCGGAGACAATCTGGCCCTTCCCCCCGCGCGGCGCAAAATTCGAGCGTTGCACCAACGAAACTGGACTCTAGACTGTGGGCATCGCCACAGCACTCTCGAAATGTGCAAAAAATGAGGATGAACTTCCCGCTAGAACATGACCAGATGCACCCGCCACATTTTTGTTTTGTCTTTTTCACATTTCAAGAGTGGTGTGCCAAAGGCCCTATCGCGCCGTGGCTCCATCGACTATCGAATGAAGAACTGAAAATCTGTACAGGCTCCTACCTAACATCTCCAAAAAACGAAGAAATAGGCACCTACCTGTTCGGGTCCGACTCGGTGGGAAGAATCTAGGGCCGTCAACGACAATTTTTTTTTTTGGTGATATTACTGTAGTAATAATGGTATTATACCACAGTAAATCACAACATCAATCAATCAACGAGTTTCGTCCTGCAGCAGTCGACGGTTGAGATGCTGGTATCTGTATCTGTGTAAGGCTCAGTTGCAAGTAACCACTTCCGAAAGGCGGTAATGTTGCAGTTCTACCCCCTCATTTTGAGTTTCCGTTCAAAAATAGACCTTCTCTTCAGAAGATTTATGTTAATGTTCGAACCAATTATTTATTTATTAATAACTGATTATTAGCTAATTAGCTGATTTCCAATTACTAATTAACCGTGTATGATTGTTGATTGTCATTCCTCGACTCTGTAGAATTTTGATACTGTAATTCTTCGTCTCTGTAGAATTCTGATCTCGGCCAGCCAACTCTCCTCCAGTCCCTCTTCTGTTTCTCTC